TACCTACATCCTTTGTTTTCCATAATGACTTTATCTCGGTGTCATGTGTTTTAACATTTTCATAAAACATTGTATTAGTTAGAATGACACGGTGGAACCACACGACGGGATGTTTGTCTTTCTCCTCTCCACTAGGTGGCTCAAAATTTCAGCAATATCAGTAAAAAGTCTAGAAAAGTGTATAAATGTATTGACCATAATGATGAGGAATAAAAGGAGCAATGTAAATGCTTGGTGGAGTTGTGGAGGTGGGAAACTGCCTCCATCAATTGATTCTAATTTCAGAGTCTCCACAATGCCCACCTCCATGGCCGAGTAATAAACTTATGGTACCAAATAAAGATATTTATTTGGAAAAAATATATATATATTGCAACCGACCAATAAACTTTTTAGGAAAAATTGGTTTCTCCAACATTGAATCCCCCACAAAATATATTCTGCATTGAAGATTAGAAAAGCCCTAAACCAATAACCAAACTTATTTGTAACAAGAAATTAGGAATCACCCGCATTGTATAGACAATATTTGCATAAAATAGGAAACTTGTGTCGTGTGGAAGTCGAATAAAAAAGCTTTGACAATTTCTCATAACAAGTAATTTTTTTTTTTAATAAACGATAGTATTTACACTAAGGGGGTGGGGAAGTGGGTTAAGTCTTACAAAAGGTTTGCCATAGTAATGTGGTTCAACTTCGTTTTTGATGAGAGTCGAGCCTAAGACCTCTCACTTACAAGTGAAGAAAAATATCACTAGACCGTATTACTAAGTGATCTCATAACAAGTAATTTAATCCACTCTCATCTCACAAGTTATGTGTCATTACTTGAAACTTGATAATTCCTTCATCTTTCTTCTAAATCTCCGAAATTTTGAAACTCTCAAACTCAGTTCAATAAAACATTTAGCTTAAATGGCAACTGAGACAAAAGGTGAAACTCGTATTCTATTGCACAAGATTTATAGTTTAAGTGATTAAGAACATTTATTCATATTCCTAAACTCATGTGTTCGACTCCTCCTCTGCAATATCGTTCGTATGAGAACTAAAATATCTCCGTACCTACTTTATTACAATTTCAATGGCATAGTTCTATTCAAGTCATCTAGGTGGACTTCATCAATTATTCATACGCACCACTTTTCCAACGAGGTTAACATCAATCAGAATTCTCCCACTCTCATACGTTTCCAATTAATCACCCAAACAACATTTTCCAAATTAAAATTCCTTGGAGCAGATTTCGCTTTACCGCAGTAAAGAAAAGTAAATAAATGTCTATGCACCTTAGTGCAGGTTCGATTTCCACCTTTTCACTCTCCCCCTTAGTATTTAACAATTTAACATATTACCTTTATTGTTTATAAAACAAAAAATTTAAAATCCCTCAAAACCCTAAATAACAACCAACAACCCACCCCCACCCAAAAATAAAATATCACACACACGCACAATAATGTTGAAATTGTCAAAGTCTTGCCATCCTAATCACTTTTTATCAACATTTGTTGCATTCCACATCAAAAACCCCAAAATAATCACGGTTTTCATTTCATAACCATTTCCAACCACACAAGGCAACCCACTAGAGGAAAATAAAGAATATAAAAAATAAATAAAATAAAAATAAAAAAAAGGGGGCGAAATTGGGCTTAGCAGCCCTTTTAAAAACCCACCAATCTAAAATAGCTCATTTTTCAAAATATAATCTCCACCTAGCCTTTGATGAAAATATCCTCATTATTGATACAATAATAATATATTGTATACACAATATTAATATATTATTGACATTAAAAATATTTATGCAAAAGAGACTAGTCAAGATTCCATTTCGAGAAAGAGGGCTAATTTTAGTTGGATCACGTCAAGGTTTTGAGATAGCACGCCCAAGGTCTTGAATCTAAGGTATCTAACACTCGATTTCCTTTTCTGTACTTTCATACTTTACTTGGATCACGTTAAGTCTAGTCTTCAAATCCATAATCTCTTGGCGAACGGTCTTAAGCTGCAGAGAATTGGGGGCATAGATATTAGACCCCTTCAAAGCAGCAAGCTCAGATTTCAACTTTTTGACTTTCTCGGCCGAGGAATAAGCTTCAGCTGCCACAGTTCTTACCACCTCCTTGGCAGCTTTGGTATCCTCTTGATCAAGGAACATAGACTTGGCTGCTAGAATCGTCGTTTTCTGCATCATGGCTATCAAAGCAATCCTCCTATACTCGGTCGAATGCTTCGCAAAGGAACTTGGCCAACAACCCCTTTGACCCCATCGACAAATTTGGCACATACATCCATGTCCTTAAGCAGATTTGGTCTCAAAGGCGCACAAATCTCAGCAGCTTCCCCAGAAAAACAGACTTGGTTTATTTATCACAGTTGCCCATACAAGCAGTTTCCTTCTTCTCAGCAGACAAGTTGGTCTTAACAGCATAGGGAACGGGTTTTGGCGCCACTTTAGCAGGCAGAGGCACCTTGTCACTCTTTATAGTAACAAGCCTTTCCAAAGGTGAACCAGACTTAGTCCCATACGGGTGTTTTGGCACAAATTTCAGCATTGAAGGCACGGAGGAAGTTCTACGCTGAGCAATCCTATCAGCAACCGAACTAGCCATCTTTGGAACAATAGGCATCACTGGCACAGATCTAGCAACCTCATCTTTCTCACCCTTGGGAAAAGTCAAGTCAATCACAAGCTTGGAGGCAGCTGGCGAACCCTCGCGAGCAGCTAAAGAAGTCTTCGGCTTTTCTCAGTTGGCATTTCTTAAGTAGGCGAGGAAGGTCTCTTTTTCCCACCTTCACTTACAGCGGGCTCCACGACGGCGATCGGACGAGCAAATGCCTTTGCCTTGATCTACTTTATCTCCTCTCTTGGGGGCAGCCCACCTTTCTCCCTACGAAGAGGACTAAGTAGCCAACGCCACTCACGGTACTCGGAAGGGATACCCAGAGCGACATGCAATTTCTTCATGTTCGGAGAAGTCTTAGGAGTTGAGCCAAACTCAGAATCTACAAAAGCAGCGGGAGACAATCAGAAAATTAAAGAGCAGCTTAGCATAAATACAAAGCAGCTGAGAGGTTAAGCAAACTACTTACCAGATATGAAAATCGCGTAACTGCCCAACTCCCTCGATGTGGCCTATGTCAAAGAAGTACCAAAATTCATTGGCGGTTAGATCTAAGTCAAAAAATTGGCTTAGATTAAGGAATCCCACCATCACACGAACTGCATTCGGAGAGCGTTGAGCAGAGGCACACTTCATAGAACAAAGTACTTCCTAGAAGAAGCGAGGCACGGGAAAAGTAAATCCTAACACAAAGTAGTAGGGGTGGAACTTGATGGTCCTCTGAGCCCCACCATATGGCTCACGGCTGCTACCATCCTTAACATGTTTCACATGCACTCCCGTTGGAATAGCATGCCTATACGCCTCAAGAAAGTCTCTAAACAAGTTATTGGAGCTAATTTTGAAGTGAGCAGCCTTGAAGTAGCCAACCTTGCTCAAAGACCCGCCTTGACGATACAGTGGCGGCATCCCATCATCATTCTTGTGGCTCAAGGAAGACATGCTCAAACAAATTCTACAAAAATGTGAAGAAAATTCGTTAGACGGTTGCCTAAGAAAAAAAAGAAGCAACTCTCGGCCTTGAGGCCTAATAAAGCTCTCGACCTCTCTCATTTCTCCCATAGGCACGAGCCTAGCCACAAAAAAAAAATAAAAAAATAAAAAAATAAATAAAAAAAAGGTGAAGCAGCTCTCGCCCCAAGCCGCAGGAGCCCAGTAGCCACGCTTGGCCCTACGGCTTGGTTTATCCTTTCTCACCTCCACAAGTCTCATAGCCCAATTTCACTGGAGGAAGGTTGGCACTCCACTTCTCCCCGTGGGCCGAGACTCACTCATCTAGCCCAACTTCCTGGCCCGTGCCAACCGTACTAACCCTCGACCCAAGCCGAGCCGAGCTGCCACCATGCCGCATTTCACCACACACGCCAACAATGTCGTGGCTTCTCCAAGCTTTTTTCACACATCCTCGACCCCCATCAAGCCAAATTTCAAGCCCCGAGGCTCCCAAAAAATTAAGAGGACAAGGAAAAATTAAATTTTGCTTACCTTGAAGCGGCGTGAAGACGAAGCAAGTAACGAAAGATGATCCTTTGCATGGGCAAGATGTAGAATTATTAGAGGAGGGGGAACAAATATCTTCTAAGCTTTCTCTCTCTTGTAGGGAAAATAAATATCTCTCCAAAGTTGATTTAATAATCCACTTTGGGAGAAATTTATTTCCTTTTCCTAGAATGATCTAATTTCCAATTAAAGAGGGAATCAACATCAAATAGGAAACAATCCTATGTTTCCTAAAGTAAGAACGTCTCTACACCTGCTGCCCTTTCCTGTGATCAGCCCAATAGGTGTGGGGACATTTGTGGTGCCAAAAATAATCAAGAAAAATATGGAGGCGACACGTGGATTTTTGGACAAAAAAAAATAAGATTACCCTTGAGGCACACCGGGATTTCTACGTGCAAGCAGTAGACAATCATCCCTTAATCAAGGTCAAAAGTGATCAAAATAGGTATTTGTTCAAAACCTATTTCATCAACCCTCATCAAATCTTCCCTACAAGGTAACTCCCAAATTATTTCTTTCAAATTATATTAATTAGCTAATTAATTGATTTATTACTCAATTAATTCATTAATTAGCTAATTGATGGTGATTAACACCAAAAAATACCAAGGGTGACTGGTTCCCACCTCTCCAAAGGGGGCGACCACACCCCTATAAATACCACCTCATTTTCTCCAAAACCCAAGGCCAAGCTTTTTGCAAAATTTTCTAAATTCTTTAAACATTTTCCCCTCAAAATTTTAACTTTAGCATCGGAGGTTCTTCAGCCAAAGCCCTCCCCCATTCATCGTGGGCGAGTGAGGCTATTGGTCTTGACCTAAAGTGTTAATTATTTTTACAGGTGCATTTTCGTTCAAAAATAAGAAGGAAGAAATTTGCATCCACACATATATTATACTCTTTTCGTAAATATATACATCTAAGAAAAAGTACAAAAAGAAAGCTTCAAAAAGTAATAAAAAGTGAAAAAAAGAAGTAAAACACCCCTAAAAAGTAAAACTCGACAAAAATTTAACAAACATCATTATCCATCGTGGAATATCATCGTCATATCATCGCTATTCACTTATCCGCCTAAAGCGTGGCGCTGCGCTTCCACGTCAGCCTCCGTTGACCCGACCCGGCGGCGATCCGGGTCTTGACTCTCTCAAAGTCCGACATCGGGCAGGGTATGGTGATTCCGCCGTCGTGCTGATAACCGTACTCCTCCTCAGCCTCTCTCAGAAGCTGCCCGAACAGGGGATGGTTAAAGTAAATGACGGGCACCAAAACTCTCTGAAAGTCACCGTCTTTTTGGCCCACGTATACAGCCAGATGTCCCTTCGGAACCGTAACAGGCTTGTTTTTCTCAACCGGGCTTTGACCCAACTGCTTGTAACCCGACCTGCTGCAGCACAGAGATTTGGCGGCAGCGGATAGCTTCCGGCCCCACGTGAGCAGCTTCGACATGGGTTTGTAGCTGCAAGCTGAGGAGGAAGAACCCGGGTTGAGCCGGGTATATTCGTGTCGGGTCGTACGGACGAAGAACCACCGGATGACCGGGCAAAGGCGCTTTCCGAGCTTGAATCCTCTGAATTTTGCCATTGTTTCTGGGGGAAAAAAGAGGAAAATCTGTGCTTTGGGTTTTGAAATTCGTGTTGAGAAGTGAATTGGGTTGTCGCTAGAGAGTGATTTGCTTCAAGAAAATGGCCATGGGTCGGCCTCGGACATGGCGAGACGAGAGAGGGTTAAGCAGATTTCAGAGAGAAAGGTGGGGATATTAGACATGGTCTGGCTTTCGCAGTTCAACTACACAAGCTTTTAGGGTATTTCATTAAAATATAAAATACCTAAATGCTTAATTTGTACTATTTGGGCTTGAGATGTAGCTGAAATTGTGTTTTTGAAGCAAAAAAAAATATGATTATGTTGAACAAAGAGAGGACACAAGATAAAAAACGATAAGGCAAGCAGAATTATACACAAGGACTCGATCACCAGCTACTATTCTTTCAAAGTGAACAAAATTGAGCTGAATTTGATCTCTTGGTGATGATCTATGAGGGTTTGGTGGGTGTGTTTGAGTTCTGGTTTTGGTGTGCTGGGTGTGTGTTTGAGTTCTGGTTTTGGTGTGCTGGGTGAGGATTGAGATAAAGATTGTTTGGGAGGAGAAGAGAGTGATATATATATATATATAAAATATGATTCGGAAAATGACTCAAATGAGGAGAATATTACGAATTCAAATCTGTACGAAGGGAAGGAGGAGAGCAAGTGCAAGCGGTGAAGGAAAGTGCAAGCAGGGAAGGACTTGAATTTCCTTGAAAAAAGTTGGAATTGGAAATGATCATTGTAGTTTGCATCACATGGCTTTGCCCATCTTACTTTTATGGTTTAAGTTTGTTATTAGTCTTAATTATGGTTTAAGTTTGTTATCAGTCTTAATTAGATTAATTATCATGAGACTCCCCCAAATTAATTCGAATAAGTAGTTCCTCCTTTTCTTCGTTGTTGACATATTTTGGTTAGCTAATTTAATAGAACTACGAATTTTAAACTAGATGAATGAGAGAAATGAGAATGTAATCATTCAAAGAGAGTATGTGTTTTATGATGTTTGAAATTTCTTAGATATGGTCGGTATTTTTGTGAAACTATTGGAAAAATCAGAAAAATCAAAGAAAAATATAGAAAAAGGAGACTTCATCTTATATCGGAGAACTCTTAAATTTCGGTTACAATCGACAGATTTTGTCGATATTTCGGTTAAATATTAGTGTAAATTCAATAAGACTTATGCTGAGTTTATGATGAAAGTTTCAACTAAGTTATGTGTAATTTATCCATTCTAATGAGATGCTTTACTTTATTATTTGTTATTAGAAAGAAGTTTCTTTCTCACATATCACATACTCAATTTTTACACAATGTTTTACCATTAATTCTTGAAAAGTATGAATCCTTAAAAAGTGTGTGTGTATATATATATATATATACTATACAAATACTTATACTTGTGTCAACTCCTTTTGTTTTAAGGTCAACATACACCCATGTAATTGGCGTCTGAGAATGTAGACCTTATTTGCGTGTGTAAGAAGGCTTGGACGTGAAAGTCTCATAGGTTTACTCTCTAATAATCATTAATCACACTGTTAAACCACATTACATGGCATTGTCTTAATTATCAACCCATCCCACAATGTCGTCTACAAATGTAACCTTTGGAATAAACGTATTATTTCTTGTTAAACAGGTACTTAAGAAAAGATATGTTATTGCTTATGAAATCACACATTCGCATGATATTACTTACCTACACAAAAAACACTTGCAAGTATATGTGTTACAAGAACAAAAATTAATAAAACAATGATGCCACTCAGTACTATGGTATAGTGTTATTCCTCTTCACTTGTAAGTGGAAAGTCTTAGGTTCGAATCTCGTGGATGGTGAATTCGATACCAAATTATGTTGCTCATTGTATGACTTAGCCGAACTCTCTCCTTCTTTTAATGTAAAATATATCGTTTTACTCAAAATAAATAAATAAAACTATGATGTGTTAATTCTTTGAACAAGCTGTGTAAGTAGAACGAGAATCCATTCATATCCAACGATAGTCGATCATCAACTAAGCCAACGCGTGAGGAAAACCCTTGAACCTTAAGTGTAGGGTTTGTGTTGGGCGGTTGGATGCGTCAACTTATCAAAGAGACGACCCTTGAACCTACTATTCCATACTTTTCAATTTTGATCAGAGCAATTGACTAAAAAAAGGAAAAAGAAACTCTTATCAATTTTTCTTAATAGTACGTAATACTGAGAAATACGAAAAGTGAAAGATTGAGATTGAAAATTGGAAATCTAATAGTTGTAGAATCAAATCAAATGGCTAAAAATACTAAATGTTACGAGACAATTAATGAAGATACACCTGAAATTAATAAGAGATTTTCAGTGTACTTAAAGTATGCATGAGTTGGTACGTCACTTGTCATATCTACTTATATAACGTTGTATACCTCTCATGTTCCCATTACATACATAGAAATGTTTAGATCCGAAAGTCAAAATCTGAGCTCCCAATTCAACACGTTGGTTTCCAAGAAGCTGCTGAATTGGACAAGTACGTTCCCGTTGGAAAAAAAGGGTACACGCCTAGAAGACGGAAGAAGACCAAGTCAGACTCACAGTACCTTGCGGGTACAGCCTACATTACACGATCTAAATTTATTATTCTGGTGCCCTACTTGTATGAACCATCAGGTGTTTTCATTATCTAGCAATAAATTAACCTAGCTACCAATAACTTGTGAGACCAACCCCATATCTATTTCTTTTGTTTAAAGAGAATGAGGTAAACTTAGCCTCACAATAATATGATTCAAATTCATCTTTGGAAAAAATCGAACTTAAAACCTCTCACTTACAAGTAAAGAGGAATCTCACTAGACTATGGTATTAAATGGCAATCCCATAACCTTCCCCTTGGATTCTTGGAAACGGTTATGTCTTGTTTTAGGTAATATAAATAACCCTAACCTCGCGGTTCGGCACCACCTAAAACAACAACACAGAAAAGGAGTTGGTTCCTTGTCGATGTGAGTCATTCCCCTTAAACCCTAAAAATAGTTTTTTGCAATTTTGGAGCTTGAGGATAAAGTAGTTTGGTTCTTGCATGAGAATAAAATACTCATAAAATGGAAAAGAAGGAAACCCAATGTTGGGTTAGTAAACGTTATTTCTGCTAGTGCGTTTATAGATTTTCAATTGATCTTTTTATAGTATCTGAATTTGTAAATTCATGTATCAAGTTTAATGGTCACAAATGCTTAATTACCAATTATTTAAAGAAAAATACCATATGAAATGCGCAATTTATTTTTTCCATTAGTTTATCATTAACTTATTGTGACTTACACATCTTAACTCCACAAAGGAGTGAAGGGAAATATAACAAAAGGAAAATACTTGTAAGGTGGTGATTTACTTAGGATAAATCAAAGCACAACTATGGATATGATTGAACAAATATGTGTGCAAAATTAAATGAAGTGTGTCTTCATCATTTCTTTTAAAATTTCAATTGCATAACGTTTTGTTGTTGGTTCTTTTTAATAAAATAGATGAATGCCCCCCCCCCCCAACCCACCAAAAACACACACACACACACACACATATATATATATATATATATATATATATCAGTTGAAAACTTTAGATAGAAAGACAGGGGGATACTACCGTGCTATTTGAATAATAATAATTATATAATATGTTCAGAACCATCTTTATTTTTGCGATTTTGTCCATATGATTTTGTTCTATAGTCTATTTTACTGTGTCCCTCCTTTAATTAGTCAAATGCGTTAGAGTTAAACGACAATCAACGCACGGTTCCACTTGTCCGACGAAACCTGGAAGGCCAAAGCACGTACGACGATGCAACAGATGCACAAAGCACGAAGCTGCCGCAGTCAGCTTCCGTACCGTCAGTCCGTGTACTCTACCGTATCCAACCGACCGTCTGATGATTATTCAAATCACACGGGGCCCACCTCGTGCATATCGGTTTCAACCCTTCCAATGTGCGTGGGCCCCACCCTGCCACTTGGCTTCATCAGGACGTTCAATGCGTAGTTGTGGGCCGGGTCGGTAGAAGAATCCAATATAGCCGACTAGTGGGCCGTCCCTTTCAATCGTAATCAGCGTCCGTTACATAACCTTTGAAGGAGGGAATCTCTGCATGTCTCGATGGCTTTTTTGATTTTAATATGATTTTTGGCTACGTATTTTCAGGTGAGGTAGATCATAGATGCCTACCTTCTACAGAAAGAGAAGTCACTTACAATTTGAATACCGTACACCGTACGAATGCGATGATTAGGGTTTTACTAGAAATTTGATCTATGCGTTGCTGTGAGATTAGAAATTGTATAGATAAATGTTTGAAAAAATTGTAAACTCGAATTTAGTAAAATGAACAGATGTCTAACCAACACTGCACCGTGACGATACACTGCTAGCAACAGTTGCTTCAATTAAATTATCCTGATCCAAATGGAAATACGAATCAGCTAAAATTGTTAAAAACACAAAATAACACTTGAATCAAATGTATAGACAAAAGCAAATGTTAAAAATAATATATATATATATATATATATATAAAGAATATTACATTAAATAAGATCTATACAATGAAATAAACACATTACTCTGTTAAGTTTAATAATATGTACAATAAGTTCTTGACATTGCTTCTCTTATATTTTCTTAACAAATAAATAAAAACTTCTATTTTCTACCTCCCCTTCATCAATTAAGAAAACGAAAACATTAGGTAGCCATATAAGAGAATTTATTCGATAACCAAGAAAAAAGCAGTTCCAATATCTACATATGGGCAGCTGTATTATGTTGTGCCAAAAGAAAAAATTTTAACAAACGAATTAAATCACTTGGCGAGTTTTCAATCCAAAACAAAAACATACCCAAACACAGAAATCTCTGTTTACAATCCCTTCCACTTTGCTTCTTGCACTTCCATATTCATTCTTCTTAGTCCCCTTAGTCCCCTTAGTCCACACCCTCCATATTCGTTCTTCCGCTTCCAAACTCCTATTAAATTATCCGCGTTTCCTCTAAAACCCATCAAACCGTTTTCTCACTCTTCAAAATCCAAACCACCACTTAAAATATACAAAATCACAATTAAATAAAGATTACAACACACTATATCACACTTAGAACCAAAATGTACTAAAACAAAAGATGAACTCAAAATCCTAAATTAACTGTTCGTATTTAAATTTTATTTCCAAGGTAATTTTCCTACCGGAAAACATTGATCTACAAAACCAAATTACATTTTTCAGCAAAAAAAAAAAAAAAAAAAAAAAAAAAAAAAAAAAAAAAAAAAAAAAAGACAAACCAAATACAATATAGAAATACAGCCATTAAATTAAGCTTGATTTACATTATACAAAGTCAATTCAAACAACTAAAAGAACATAAATGAAAATATTGAGAAACCAACCTCTTTAAAACGAGAAAAACTTGTGTGGGGCTTGACATGCCACTAGACAATGCTGAGTGGTAGTCCCATACCATTCATAACTTGCCATGTGTTAAATATTGTTTCATTAGTATAATTTCTTATTTATATTTTATATCATAATTCAAAATTTAATTAATAAAATATATATATGGAAAAGTAAATTGTTAGAAGGCCTGAACTTCAAGGACGCCACAATCACACGGTAAGAGAGGAATGCAGATCCGGGTGAAGTGCAGCTACGGAGAGGATTGTCGGGAATGGGCGATGGTGGAATTGCAAGGGGCGGTGGAAATTCAGCCACAATTTCAAGACCACCTCTTTTCGCAGCACCTGCCCTGGAAAACTGAAGCAGTTTCAACTCTTCCAGGAGTGATGGAATCGAAACAAATGTATTCGAATTTTGAATAATCGAATGTGTTTATGTATGTGACTCATTACAAACAAACATTAGCTTTCTCATGATTCGCATAAAAAATAATCACAAGCTTATCTCTCTCTCACGGCCTTGCATGGCTGCTGGGAAATTGTGCAGATTTTAGGTAATTACTGGTTCAAAGGTTTATTAATCCATCAAAGCTGGATTAAGTTTCTGACTAACCTCATTATTTCAATTCAATAAAAAAAAAAAAAAAAAAACTCTCATTATTTCAATGTATTATCAAATTATTATTAAGGAAGGGCATATAAATTCTGGAGAAGAACCCAATTCTCAAAGCCAACTTCGTTCATCAGTAGTTTGTCGTTTCCAATTTTCAAATATTAATAGACTATAGATGTAAAATTGAACGAGTTATAAGTAATTATTAGAGAGAGTTGAGAGATGGGAGATGAGAGACTTAATAAAGGGAGAGCCTGAAGAGCAAGGAAGAATTGACAGCGTTGTAGATCATCGGTGCCGACGAGAGAAAAGAGGCGAGTTCGCAGATGGAGGTAGATTTAACTGGGATTGTGAATTTTGTTTTTACCATTTTAGTTTTTTAAGAAATAATGATTTAAGTTTTTAATTTTATTTTCATATAAAACTAAAAATAAGAAATCATATTTAAGTTTAACACATGGCAATTTATGAGTGGCGTGTAGTGCCACTCAACATCATCCAGTGGCATGTCAAGCCCCAGACAAGTTTTTCTCCTTTAAAACACAGCCGGTTCCACTCGTCTAATGTCTTTAGTTTAACAAAACCAAATTAACCTGAAATTAAAATAAACCTCATTAATTAAATCAACCTACTAAAAACAAATTTATACTCACACATGTATAACACAATACACACATGTACAATATATATAATTGAATGAAATACCTTGACGGTTTGTGTATTTGCAACCGTGACTGGAGGCGAATATCACACAAAAAGGATTTTAATGATGGAGAGTAAGGATCCCAATGAGAGCTGAAATCAGAAAAATTAAATTTCAATTCATGTACAAATCCGAAATCACAAAAATGTATAAATTAGAGTAGATGAATTGAAACCGAAGACATTATAAATTATCTTGTAATTTGGTCAACAGACAAATATGCAGACTTTAATTTTTTTCCGCGTTTTCGTACGGTCGCAACTGATCCAGAGGAGTTGGCCTCACAGCTTCCATTTCAACTATTCAAAATGGATGCAATTTTTTATGAGCAATTAAAAAAAAAAAAGCTCAAGAAATATTGGAATAACTAAAAATTTATCAAACCTGAATTGTCATCAGATACACTAAATAAAAGACACAAATTAAACTCCTACACCTCACCTATCCAACAGGGGTTCAATTTGTAATACAAAAGACGAAATTCTTGTTCCTAATGAACATAGTTACTGTAAACATAACATCATGTAAGAAACTTATCCATTATTTTTCCAATTTGCTTAATGTGGGGTTATAGCTAGAATCACAACAATTACTAAATAGACAAATGACTTATCCTTATACTTGGATGCCAAAATCCAATTATAACACATGCACCCTATAATTATAGCCAAATTTTGTGCTACTTTACACTTAACAGTATTAAACAAATGCATAGAAATGGAACATTCATTCCTATAAAGTGTATATCAACATATGGTGATTAAATTCAACATGTTATGGCAATACTCTTTGAATCTCCCTACACAGCATGTTACAACAAAATCTGCAAAAAAAAATTAAAATAAATAAATAAAATCTGAAAACAACAAAATCCAACAATAAAAAGACCAAATCCACAGGCGAAATATACACGCCCTTTTCACACACCTTCCTACTAACGAAGCAGACGGTATAACACCAATAAGCCAAATAAAAAAAAAACAAAATAACCAAGAGAGAGACCATACATAACATTAACTCTTAGAAGAAAAAATAAATTCAATTCAACTCTATAACAACACACAAAAGCCAGTAGCCAAAATTATCACCTTTAACAAAGACGTCTTCTGCATGCCGAGGGTGTTGAAAATTTGGAGACTGAGAATTAGTAGCTCCATGCAGTGATACACCGAAGCCATTGAGCAAGGATTTTACAGGAGAAGCCCCATCGCCTCCCTGTAAAATAACGTATTTACATTTATGCCACTCCATTAGTTCGCCATTGTAAATTTACATTTATGCCATCAGTTACTCCATGCATAGAGAGATGGAGAGAGATACTCACCACTTAATTGGGCTATTTGAAGGAGGAGCCATCGCCGACGTCGTTGTTGGAGAGGTCAAAGTCGCCGTTGTTTCCCAAAGACAATCGCATGGGACCAAAGTCGGAGTCGGTGGCGCTTGATCGGGACATCATGAGCTGGTGCTGGAGCATCATGGCGGCAGCAGATGCGGCTGATGTGGAGAGGGGGCAAGTTTGGTTTGCATAAAGCTGTAAAAACCTGAACCCAAGACTATAAAATTAAACCTCAAAATGACAACTAAAAAATAAAAAATCTCAAAACATAACTTAATCATCACAATTCCAAAATCACAACCAAAACATATAAAAATGCCAAAAGATCGTATCAAGACTGAAGCAAAGAACAAAACAAACTTACACCCTTAATTACCTAGCAACAAAACCCAAGAAAGCTGAATTTGCTGAAACTGAAAACAAAAACGGGTTAGACAGGCAGATATAAAACCCCAGACTACAAAATGAACACCAAAATAAGAAAGAAAGCAAAATTTCAACATGAAACCAATTTACAACAAAACAAACTTGTACCTATAATTCCAAACAATACAACCTGCTCCGTTAACAATTTGCAAGAAAAACACCACGACGCAGCGATTAGAGAGAAAACCAAAGCTGAAAATGAAAGAAAGAAAGCATAAAACAGATAGAAAATGGAAAATGACAAACGGAGAAGTGAAAGCCAAAGAAAAAACAACAAATGGAAAAGAAAACGTGCATCGATCATCAACGCGTGGAGGGCATTCCGTCGGTAGAAAGCATAGAGAAGGATGGAAGTGAAAGGCAAAGAAAAAACCAAAACAAATGAAAAGCAAAACTTGCAGCGATGATCAACACGTGGAGGGTTTCGTCCAGTGCACTCAAAGCTGCCCATCAATTTCCTCGGTATGCTAAAAGAGAAAATATTAGAAAACAAAAACCAAACACACCAAACCATCTTTTCATATTTTTTTTAATCATTTTGTTTTCTCTCTAACCAATATCTATATCATTTTTTATCCTTTTTGGTGCTACAAACATTTTTTTAATCTTAATTTTTTGTCAACAACCCATTACTTTAATCTTAATTTTCTGCCACTTCGCATTTATTATCCTTTTTCGAGGAATGGGCCTTCGTTACTACCACCACGCAACTGCAATGGCAATGGCATCCCTATTTTCCTGTCTTTTTCTCAAATGGAAGGGAACGATCAACATGTGGGTCTTCGCATTTATTATCTCTTTCGTGGGTGGCTTTTTTGTTTTGGCTTTTTTTTTCAAGGGCTTTGGTTCTAGCAATAAAGGGGAGTACATGGTGATGAGAGACACAAGGCCGCGAAGGACAAAATGGACTTCTTACTGTAGCAAAGTGTGAACCGTACGGGGACCAAAGCAGAAACCGAGGGCAGTTCCGCCCTTTCACTGTTGGTGAACAGTGCTCGCTCTCACATAATGAACAGTGGTTTTCTGCTGAGCTTTAGTATATAGATAATTTGTCCAATTAGGCTACGTACAAGTAATATCTTTTCTCTTCCTTTCATTTTCTTCCATTTCTTCGTGACTTATGTGCAAGTACAATTTCTGTACATAAAACTTATAAAATTAATCATAATATTACACTGCTAAAGTTATGATCTTGGAAACATAGAAATGGAGAATAAATTAAAGAAATGACCTTAAATCTTCATGTACTAACCCCAAATCAAAGCACTGGGATGATAAAGAGAGGCTAAAATTCAATGTACAACCTTCATGATTCATGATCAAAATTGTCTATGTTTTAAACTATAATTTATTCTGTAAAATATCAATAAAATTAATAACATTCAACTAATTTTTTGATCGATTTAACAACAGTCAACTTTTGATTATATTATTTTGTTGTTTGAATGAAAACTACGTGTTGTTTGACTTATTTGATTACAATTAGATGACAAACAAAATTTTAATTTTTAGCTAATTTGTAAAGATAATTTTGTCTGGTTTGATTACAATTATAATTTGTAGAAATAATTTTAATTTAGCCCTAGCCTCATTTTGGTGTCAAAAGGGAAATCGAAGCACCTGTTTAAATTGGCTTATGCGTGTTGAAATCTGTCACATCGACTATACTTTTGAGAGAATAAGAGTTTAAATATTTTAATCCCACTTCAACTAATACCAAGACCTTTTTTGATAAAATCTCACACCTGACGAATTATGCAGGTCGTAATTAACAAGTTGGAGACAATACGTTCAACTGCATGCAATTGCAAGCGTAACCTTTCAAGAATCTAGATTAACATGTCTTAGCTGTGTTTTTCAATATGTTTTGCTGTCACTATTTATGCGAACACTACTGACTATATGATACACTACTCCATGCCTACCCTTGTGTCCTGTGATTGCAATTTAGTTCATGAATTAATTGTGGTAAAGAAAAAAAGATAAAAGAGAATGCTAGCAATGTTGTGGCTTATATTTAACTGATGGGAGAAGAAGGCCGGCGGCACAGAGAGAATAGAGAGAGATGGAAAGAGAGAGAGAGAGAGAGAGATATGTGTTTGTAGGGTTGTATAAAGGATGTGTGTTATTCCCCTTACGCAGTGCCTTTATTTGTAATAATAAGAAAGAAGAAATCATTCTCCTCCAAGGAATACAAGTCCTAATAGGGACGAATAACTAGAATCAAATATAATTTAGGATTTACACAATCACACTTAAAAAGAAGTTTATAACACTCCCCCTTAAGTGTGTAAATACTCAAGTAGATTCGGCATCATGTAAAGGTTGAGGAAGTCGACTTGTCGGCACTGATTCTGGGAACACACTATTCTTAATAAGGTAAGAACTTGCATAAGGAAAGTAAGTCTCACAAAAACTCCTATGGCTGTGGTAAAAATCCAAGTAGGGACAACACCCATAGTCTAAGGAAAAATGTGTAAGAAATGCAAAGTCAAATGAAACGTTTACAGGACATCATCAGAGATATGATCAACCCAAGGTGGGTGCCTTGTCAAAACCTCATTAAGTAGCAAAAACCCAATGAGAAAAATGCTCCTAATCGTAGGGATAAAGAGTACATTAAGATCAAGCAAGTATACTTCAGGATACTCCCCCTGAGTTTGACACAATTCCAAAAAGAACTAGCAATGTTACAGCTCAGAAAGTTTACACATACCAATTCCTTGAACAAGCTTCTGAAACATCGCCTTCGGTGAGTGATTTGGTGAAGAGGTCGGCCAGATTGTCTTGTGAACGGATTTACGTGACTTTAATCTTTTGATACTCTTGTTGTTGATGTGAGAAGAAGAACTTCGGCCCAATGTGCTTGGTGTTGTCTCCTTTGATGTAACCCTTCTTGAGCTATTCGATGCATGCTGCATTGTCTTTATAAATTATCGTCGGGACATCAACAACGGGGTAAAGATGGCTGGAGCTTCGAATATGGCCCACAACTGCTCTTAACCAAAAGCATTCCCGAGTTGCATCGTGTAAGGCGAGAATTTCAGTATGGTTATACCAAGTGGCAACTAAGGTCTGTTTAGTTGACCTTCAATAAATTGCAATGCCTCCAACGATAAAGACATAACTCATTTGAGAACACGCCTTATGCATATCAGATAAGTATCATGTGTCGGCATAACCAACAAGGTGGGAATTGACTCGAGATATGGGGAGTGCGGCATCACTCGAGGATCCATAGGGATAGACAAGCCCAAATTCGTAATACCCTTAAGGTGGTGAAAAATGTCTTTAACATCAATCTAGTGTTTGCGTGTTTGTGTATTATTGTATCTTGCCAATAGATTAACAACGAAGAAGATGTCGGATCTAGAGCATTGAGCTAAGTACAATAAAGCGCTTATCACAATTAGATAAGGAATTTCAGGCTCCAAAATCTCTTCATCATCCTTCTTTGGACGAAAGGGATCTCGTTTTGCATCTAGCGATCAAACGACCATAGGAGTACTCGAAGGCTTTGTTTTATCCTCGTTAAAGCGGTGCAACACCTTATGGGTGTAGTTCGATTTATGTACTAAGATTCCATCCGAACGGTGCTCTATCTCGAGATCGAGACAATATTGAGTCTTTCCTAGATCTTTCATCTCAAATTCCAACTTCAGGTGCGCGGTAGTTCTCACCAGCTCTTCAGAAGTTCCAATGAGATTCTTGTTATTGACATATATTGCAACTATCACAAAATCAGAATGTGACTTTTTAATGAACACACAAGGGCATAGTTCCTTGTTCATATAACCTTGATTAGTCAAATACTCACTCAGACGGTTATACCACATTCTTTTGAATTGCTTTAAACCATAGAGTGAACGCTTCAGTCGAGTTGAGAGCGTGTTTCGAGGTTTGCAAATATTTGATCCAATCAATATAAGTCTTTCGGGAACTTTCATATAAATTTCTATATCAAGATCCCCATAAAGATACGCAGTTACTACGTCTATCAGCTGCATACTTAGTTTTTCGGAAACAACCAAACTGATAAGGTGGCGAAAAGTAATCACTTTCATAACGGGTGAATAAGTTTTGTCATAGTCAATTTCGGGGTGTTGTGAGAAGCCTTGCGCAACAAGACGAGCTTTGTAACGCAGTTTTTCATTATTCTTATTACTCTTCTGAACGAAAACCTATTTGTAGCCAACGGGCTTCATATGTGGAGAAGTAGAAGCTACAGGTCCAAACACCTTACATTTCACAAGCAAATCGAGTTGGACTTAAATTGCTTGTTTCCAATTTGACCAATCGGTTCTACGTCGACATTCATCAATGGAACGGAGTTCAATGTCATCGCTCAACATGATCTCAGTAGCTACCACATATGCTAATGCATCATCGACAATCATCTCATTTCTACACCAAACATCATCTAAGCTAGCATAATGGACCGAAATCTCACAATTCTCGGGAGGTGGATTCGTCTCTTTAAGGACACTTCCGTAATCTAGAATTTTCTCATGAATTGGATAAAATAAGTAAGCGACAGTCAGATTCACTGTAGGTTATTCATGTTCCTATGCTATGGGTTTCCTCTTCTGGGGGTATGAATCCTTTGAACCAAGTAATCTACCACGCTTATGTGTAAGGGCAGATGATTGGCTAGCCGCTAATGTACGTGGATCGGCCAAAGTGGCGTCCCAAGCCTCCATGAAGGAAGTCTATCGTACATTTGGTACATCCATCTTTGCAGGCACATTCACAGATGGACTATGTGATTTTGTCACTCGCGCTAGATTGGCAAAAGCATTTGGCATGCTTTGAGCTATGCCCTAAAGAACTAATATGCGTTGCACTTCAGTCTCAGATTGAGTGGTGCGGGGATCTAAATGAGACGAAGTGGGAGTCATCCACAATAATTCGCATCGTTCATCAGAAATGTTAACTTTCTTATCTCCCCCTAACAACGGGAAGACTATCTCAAAGAAGTGATAATCCGCAAAACGAGCGGTAACACAGATTGCCTGTCAAAGGTTCTAAGTAACGAATAATCAAAGGAGAATCATATCTGGCATAAATTCCCATCCTTCGCTGAGGCCCCATTTTTGTATATAAGGGCAGCGAAATTGACACATAGACCACACAACAAAAAATGTGCAGATTTGATATGTCGGGTATGTATCCAGTAACCAACTGAAGGGCATTATATGGTTAGGTCGCAACAGGCCTCAGGGCAAACCAACATAGTCGCGTGCAATATTGCATCGCCCCTAAGCAGCAATCAGGAACTTGGTACGTATG